CCGGCTTCTGTTGCTTTTGGTCGGAAGGCGCCTGCCCCCTTGCGGAACGCAGTCCGCTAGTCCCTCGCGGAGTCTTAGCGGAGAGGACATTGCATTGCTGCTGCAGTGCACCTACCGAAGATTTGTGCCCTCCTGGAGATATCTGCGTATGTACTCGTTTATTCACAGACTACCATGGGCTAATACGACTTTCATCATATAGGGAGAGACTATCGTCGAACCTTTGAGGTAAATCATGGGTACAACCAACTATGTGAAGGGGAGCACCCTCACTATATATTGCTCGGGCTTCTCTTGTCCTTCAAAGCGTAATGCAAGAGAATCGTGCACACATGAACCTGCGAACAAAAAAATCGGACTATCTTGCCGTTCGACGGCAGCGCCGCCACATTGAAAGCTGCTCTGATCCTGCGGTATTGATTGGAATGCAGAGCTGTCCCTGAACTGCGATCTGCCAACATCAAGGAACCGTCGTCTAACATTCGCGGATATAATGCATCGTTGGACATTGAGCATTCCCCAGGAACGAAACTAACAACACTTGTGCACCATGAAGCTCGCCCTCGCCTCCTTTCTAGTTGCGTTGGCCGTTACTTCGAGCGCTACTGCCGAGGTCTGCTGCTTCTCCGCACCTGCATGCCCCTTGGAAGAACGAAGTCCCATAGTGCCTCGAGGAATCCTCGCTGAAAGATTCATGACCTGCTGCTGTAGCGCGCCTACCCCAGAACAATGTCCTTCTGGCGATGAATGCGGTGTACGTAGTCATATTCTTGTAGTTATTTCGTACGCTGATATAATAATCCGAGTAGCCCGTGCGTGCCATACAACCTGTGTAGTGGCGACTTTGTCACATGGGCAAGGTCAAATACGGCAGAGAGTCGAGTGTTATGGTGGTGATGATTTCAGATAACTATTTTGATGAATAGTAGAAGAAGGCGCACAGCGAGTTCGAACGTTCATGGTCGGTAGCGGGGTCAGCGTTAGTATAGTCATTATAAATTAGTTCCTTAGAGCTTTTGGAATTGTGGTGTACAAATGCAGATGCGACGCCGATGTTGACCGCTATCATCAACAGCACTACCCGTTTATCCGTTTAGAGGACAAACTCCAGAACATCCGAACCGGAGAGCCTATCATAGAGACAACATCCGACTATTGTTTGTTTCATTTCAGTCGAAACACTCCACATTCTATCAGTGAGATCACGGCGTTCGAGTATACGCCCCACGGCATAGACTGCAAAGGACGCTCGCTGAGGTAGTATAAACCTCCCAAATATGCAGCATCGTCCGTCGCCTACAATCGACAGCTGCAGGCACACCAGGAAGCATGAAACTCGCAGTCGTCATCCTCGCTACCATCAGTGCAGCGTACGGTGCAAATACGTATTGCTGTCTATGGTCCCCATCAAACATCTGTCCGCTCGACACGACCAAAAGACAAGTCGGCGAAGGTGATCTTTACGGAAGGGATCTTTTAGGCGGAGCTGAGAAGAGGCAAGATGAAGCGCATTGCTGCTGCTGGGCTACCAGCGAAGCCACCTGCAGTACCCAGTGCAACGTACGTGATTACTATACCAGAAAAAGGGATGATCGGTTCGACTGCTAATGTATATATCTAGTTCTAAGACGAGCAGGTTGAAAGCGGGAGGGTATTCCACGAGAAATCATGCCTTTGACTTTCTACCTCGTACGCAATACAGTCAGTGACAGCAAACAGCTAGCACGAGCTTTGTTGGTTACCGAACCTACTTACCCAAACGAGTTATCAGTGTGATGAGCGTCTATCAGGTCCGCGGGCGCTGCGATCGCATGGCGACCTTTCTCTCAACTCTCCAGCCTGCTCTCAAGTAGTAACTGTCGACGACTTTACCGCACCGTTTACATCTCGACTAGCCCCATTTTGGTGCCCACTTTATCTCTCCTTGATTTACGCAAACAATGACAGCCTTCGTCGACTTGTCACATACTCTGGATGCGACGGCGACTATCTATCCTGGTGATCCAAAGTTCAGCTGCTGTCCGGCTCTCACTTTGGATAAAGATGGGTTTAATGTGCGATCAATCTCGCTCGGAACACATACCGGTACGCATATCGATGCGCCGTATCATATGCTTGAAGATGGGGAGACGGTAGACAAGCTCCTGCTTTCAAGTTGCAAAGGACCCGTTTTTGTCGTTGATGTTACTGGGAGACAGCCCAAAACGCGGATAATGTGGTCAGATATTGAGTCTATGGAACAAGATATCCATGATGCCGCTCTGCGCGGGGCCATGGTCCTTTTTCGTACTGGTTGGGCTCAGCACTGGGCAACGCAAGCCTATTTCGACCATCCATTCCTCGATGTCGAAATAGCGCGCCGGCTTGTGGAGATGGGAGTCCGTCTAGTCGGCATAGATGCACTAAGTCCAGATGAAACCCACCTTGAAGAGCAAGAAGGCGTTCCGATGGATTTTGGCGTTCATCAAGTCTTGCTATCTGCAAACGTGATCATCGCTGAAAATCTCACAAAACTAGAAGATATACAGCAGGGGCCCTGGATCGCATGCATGGCCCCGCTTAAAATTGCGGGTGGTGATGGCTCTCCAGTGAGAGCATTCGCGTGGCGAGATGTGAGTCGCACCTATATGCTCTTTCTTATGTTTTGTCATTGAAGCAAACAATCACTAGCTAAATGCATAAACTGCTACCGATACAAGCGACTGCGTAGTGTTTCGTGTACATAGTGAGCGTTCAATTGTATAGCCGCAAGCACCCATCTCACGAACGCTGTCCGTTAGGGTGAATTCAGTCGCTGCTAGTGACTTCGTCTCAACGTTACAATGATAACACTACTCCTAGTGATGACTCACCATTCCAGTCCCTTGCTGTGGTCGTGAAACGGGGTCGACCATATATAAGTCGATTGTTCCTGACAAAAAGCGAACTATTTTCTACCGAGTTATTAGCCTCCAAATCTCAATGAAGCTACACGTCGCTCTCGTCGTCGTCCTCGCCCTCTTGCAGTACGCGCTTGCCGATTACTGCTGCATCGAGTCCAACCCAGTCGGGATCTGCCAGGAGGCAGTAGGAAGCATGCTTCAAAGTCGCGAGCCTGCTCCTTACGTCCCACGAGCTCCCTTGGCTCGTCGCTGCTGTTGCAGTGCTGCAACAGAGGCTGCTTGCTCTCCCAATTGTAATGTGAGTGGCTTCGAACATAATTCTTGAAAAATATCTCAATACATTGATAGATATGACGGCGGCGAGGAGGTGTGAGGGGTCACTGAAGCCGATGGCACCCTGAGCTGAAGCGTATTCTCACAGGTTACTGTTTGCTGTCCATAGTCCTTCATATCCCAAATCCGGTCATTATTTTCATCTTTTACGCACCGATTTCTTCTTCTACACGAGTGCATCAAATTGCTGAGTCTTTTTCGGACATCGTCGAACGGTAAGGACAGTCCATTCTGATCCTTTGGACTGAATGATAACCTTCATACAGCTTCAGACCCAAATCTTGTTGTCGCGATCAAATGTTCCTATACAATGCAGCTATACGGTACCGCCGCAGGCTGCGAGTCAGTGGCTCCATTGCATTGCATTGCTCGGACTGGAGAGCGTCTCATGCTTCAATCAACATATATACATACCTTGCGCCGTGGTGAAAGGCAACATCGTATCCCACCCGCCGCAAGATGCAGTTCAAGCTCTACTCTTTCCTCGCCCTCGCCTTCTTTTGCAACGCCTACGCCCAAAGCACCGAAGTTTGTTGTATCGAATCGAATCCGGCTGGTCGCTGCCTGCCCATCGCCAAGAGCGGTCTGCAACAGCGCGGCGCCGAAATTTATGCTCCGCGCGCTGCGCTTGCAACCAGGTGCTGCTGCAGCGCTCCGACACAAGGAGAGTGCGGAAGCTGGTGTGATGTGAGTGGCCTGCACTCATGATGCGCCGTTGATATCCTGACTGAATGGTCTCGGCCTCTCAAGGGTGCCGTTGGGCTGAACTAGGCATGTGTCTGACAGAGTGTGCCGGATCATGTTGTGTCTCCATTCTCTTTGGGCGCGTTGTGTATGAGCTTGGAATCCGACCCGGTCTGTGGGGCAGCGTGTGTCAAGGTCTCTGCATCATTATACAGCACTGTACCAGTCTAACTCAGTCCTAGGAAGAGATACTACATTTCTTATTTTATGATGAGCCTCGTTCGCTGCATCTCTTTTCAGCAAGGATGCATGGACATACTTTCGTCTAGACGGCGAAGTGTCGCGCTTGGCTTGCGTCTCTTCACCGCCCATCAAAACGCCACAATATTCCCACCCGCCAGGCATCGCCTATCTCTCTTGCCAAGAGGGCCGTACGCTGTGTCAAGTCGCCGCACCTGCTTATTCCACAACATATAAAGCTAGTCAAGGTCGCTGGTCAAGATGTCATCACTCGAGGCAGAACATCACTCACAATGAAGCTCGCCCTCTCTTCTATCATCGCTCTCATGGTCGCTATATCTGGCGTCCACGCCGACGTATGTTGTGTATCCTCTCCAGGCAACAGCTGCCCGATAATCGCTCGCGACTTCATTCAAGAGCGTGCTCCGGCGCCATACGTACCTCGTGCGGAACTGGCAGAGAGATTCATCTGTTGCTGCTATGCGCCAACAAGGGACCAGTGCGCCACGTCCTGCAAGGTCGGTAATTTGTGGTTATTCTATCAAAACGAGGTTGGCTGACGACGACCCAGGATGTCACCATCCCACCACCTACTTGCGTTCCGTCGCCCGGCCATTACTGCCCAATTGATGACGCTTAGGTTGGGAGATAGATTGCGGTAGTGGTCGAGGCAAGGAAACACTATGTCACACCTCTGCATTCGTTACTTCCCCACTGCAACTCACATGAATCCTGTCTTCGACGCGTCATTCGTGTGTGACATAAGCGGAATATCAGTCAAACTGGAGACTCGGGCTCGCCACTCGAGAGTCGAGACTTCATAGAAAAAAATCTTGAAAAATGAACTAACAGAAAAATGAACTGCCCCAGAGAGGCTCGAACTCTCGACCTTCCGATGCACCTGCTAGAAATAACAGTCGGACGCTATAGCCAACTAAGCCATGGGGCATTGAGAAATGAGCAAAGCATACAAGCTATGTGTAATTGCCTGCTGGCCCGTCCGGTTGCCCCGCGGGATGCCGTGCCAAAACACGTGGCACTAACGGATCGATCAAATCTCAGATCTCATGCGTACGTCTGACGCGTCGCGCTTTGTTCTTCACCTTTAACCACCACCTCACCATGGTACGTATATTGCACTTAGAGAGATGAAGAAGACTCTCTAACCTATGTATCAGGAGCCTTCCATGCGTCTTGCCCCTACGTCAGCCCCAAAGTCCGCTACTATCCAAGATACTGTCAATGCCCAGGGCCTCCATGACACCCTTGCGTATGGTCCACGCAGTCTCGCTGCAGAGGTGAAATCATCCGGGGCAACGACGATACGTGACCGTCTTGATAACGTGCGCAATTTTCATAGCTGGTCATAACACCAGTTGACTGAACACATCTCAGTGGGAGGCGACCCAGGACAACCTCAAGCTCACAATGCAGCGGAATGCATTCGGCTTGCACATGCCTGTGAGGCTCATGATGGAACGTCAAATCGCCGGCTACGTACGTTCATATCATATTCTCAAGATGACCTCGCTAAGCTGCTGGTGAACTAGAACCCACATATGCCTGCCCTCCGCACGTCGAACCTCCACCTTGATATCCTCATGGGCCGCGACGAATCGCTAGACACTGCGGACTTCATGATGCCAGGTACGTATCTTGAGTTCTAGTCATTATCCGGTTAGCTGAGCAACTTCATAGGTTCGGAATTGCGACAACCACTGGATATCCATGCTGAGATGGAGAGGAAGCTCCGCATGTAGTTTTATTTCCCATCATCTCTCTTCGGTTCTCCATTTCTCGCCCCAAAGCGATTGTACTTATGGATGCATGATATCAACACGACATAATTCAGAAACTCTAGGGCAGATATTAAACGTTATCCTCAGTTCCACTCGTAGCCGTTTGAAGATCAGGCGCTAGTGTACTTACTCACGTCCTTCTCTAAGCACATGTCCGAGCCATTGACACCTCTCAAACGTACCAAACCTGGAATTGCAACTGTTAGTTTCAACCATCTGCATGCAACAAGTATATTATAGCGCTGTATTAGGTATCTGTCAAACCGTAGAGAAAGCATAAATAGATACATAAGGGGCTGATCAGCGACCGCCTTGGATCATCTTCACACCAGTGTTTCGGTCTTTACTAACGTCGAACTCGAGATCCATCATGTCGTCCGCTGAGACATGTGTTGCACCGACGGGTGCGTCACCACATCCACAGTCATATGTCGCGTCTAGGTCTGCGCAATCAAATTCGGGTTTGTGTAATTTCTTGTTCACCTCGTTGTGCACAGCACAAAGCCTGGAACGGAGGTGATCACCCTGCAGCTCAAACACAATGCATCGGTATGCTCACCATGTCGCTGCTGCTCTTCGCGATGATGTCTGTGTGCATGGTCATGATTATATACATGGTAAGAAGAAACAGACGTACTTGAGGCGGATACTTTTTGAGGAGTTTCTGAAAGTCTTTAGCACACTCGCCACATGGGTATAGGCGTGAAAAGAGATGGAAGTAGCTGTTGAACGCATCTCGCTCATCCTGTGAAGGGGTCTATAGAAGTGTCAGATCCATTGTCATCTTATATAAAGCCATGCCCACTTCTGGATAACGTAGCGTCATGGTATGTCTGATGAACAGGTTGAAGTCTAGTATGCAGTGGCGGATAAGTACTCAGAACTCACAGCAGTTTCCACGTTGCACGGCCGAGCTCAGCCCTACCAAACAATTACCATAAGTACGTGGATTTGATTCGGGGGTATCGACATACTTTGCGGTAGCATTACCCAGCTTTGCCATGATGACCTCGCCGTGTACGCCAGCAGCAGCACTGGCTGGATATATATGGGGGTCTTGTTCAACGCCTCCTTCTCCGAAGAAATCGCCTGTCCAAGGCTCTACATATGCGCGAGATGGCGGGTGGAGCATTGCGACTGATGCAAAGAGAAACTAGGGGGTGGAACGCCATGGTTTTATTGAACACCGAAATTAATTATCATGGTCTGTTCAACGCTTCAAGACTAGGATGAGATCGAACAGTGCGCACAAGAGCAAGTACGATCGCCAGGAAAGCTTTGCTAAAGCGTGTCATCATATTTGTGAGTCTGGGGGTATAGCAAGAAAAGTAGCGGAGAGGTCGTCGTCGTCGAGTGAAAGCTACAATCAGCCTTGTTCTGGGTCTAGAGTAGACGTTAGGCGCTCGAGAGCAATGATCGATCGAGGCTTACGTAAGAAGCGTTATGATTTCTTCAAGTTCGCCGCCTCCGCTTGTTTTGCGACTTGGATCGGACCAAGTGGACTCACTGGTAAAGACAGTACGTAGGTAACCCATGCATGGATTATATCTTTGCTCTACTGATCAGATATCAGTGATCGACGTTCTCCTGTCTCAATTCACCTGTGCAGGCACAGATTTGGGTTTGGTTTAGGACCGCACCCAACATTTCTATTTGACGAAGGTATGTAGCCTTTGATATCACTTTCACGTGGGTACTATGCCTTACGTTTTGTATCATGTCCCAAAAATTCTCTGTACTTACGAATTGCCTGATATCACTTCCACGGCACGCACAAACTCTGTCTATGAACCACGCTGAATGCTGCTAACTGTACTAACTAAGTTACACAGATCCTTTTGGCGACATATTGACGCATACAAACTGCCACACGTTGTATAAGACTCGCGCGTGTTATGACATGCCAATGTTGGGGTCTTCCGCCTCGTCTAGCGATGAGTCTGAACCTATCCTCAGCATCGAGAATGCGGTAGCAGGAAGTTCCAGGCCCAAAGACAAAGCTGTACCAATGGACGCTAGTAATCGCGGTCCGGACGTGGATTCCGACTCGGATAGCGATTCGGACTACACCTCAGATGCCGACGTCTACATCGCCCCCAGTACGCGTCGGGCATATCTTGTACATCTCTCCTCACACATCACGACCACCGCAAACCCGGAACATCCTCTCGAACCATCTCTCTTTCTCCCTGTCTCCTATTGGAGTAGCTCTGAAAAGGACTCATTCTTCCGTGCGCTTAACGTACACTCACGTTTGCGCCCCGACCTCATCGCCGCTGCAGTACGCTCCAAAAGCGCAACTGAGGTTAGTGCATACATTGATGCCCTTGAAAAAGCTCTAGATGAATGCCGCTGGAGCTCTAGTAGCAAGGGCAAGGGGAAAGAGAAGGCACTGTACACTCCCCTCTCGCGTAACGAGTTCCCAGCCGTATACGAAGTCTCGGACGCATGGGTCGAACGCGAGGGCCGTATAGCACGCGCTATAATTACCGAAGAGCGACGCATGTCGGCTGACGCGATCGACCGAAGCCGGGAGGAAGAGATCCGCTCCATGCGCAAGTCGGTACGGGCAAGAAAGCGGCGGAAGCTCGTGGACGGAGACCGTGATCAAGACCGAGACAGAGAAGGGGAGAAGATACGGCGCGCACATTTTGAAGAGTGGTTAGCGCAACGCCGCGCCGAGTGGGAAGTGCGGGACGCGATTGATGCGCTGGACGGGACCATGCTGAAGGCTATGGACATGCTGCTCAGGGAACAAGAGGAAGCGCACTCAAGCCTACAATCCGAGGATCTAAGTCCGGCTACTGGTAGTAACGAGCTACTCTATGAGACTCGAGAGGAGGCAACATCTTCCCCTGACGCTACCTCGCAGCCACACCCAGGCGCACAAGTACCTTTAATTGACGACTCTCTCATCGACCCTGTTCTTCGTGGCTTATCAGTACAGCCACAGTCCACTGACCATCCGCCACCCTCTCAATCTAAACCCCTACCTTCGTCATACAATAATCTGGATTTATTTAACCCGGTCACACCACCCTTTCCTTCGGCCCCGCTTCCTGTGACAGCCACACCGTATCTTGCTCCTGTCATACCTGAACCACCAGGGCCAGAGCCAGAAACCGAGTACCAGGGCATTTTCTACTCCAGCGTAGATCCAGAACGACAGCTGTCCCCTACCTCCAGAAGACGACTAGTGAAACGACTGTATATGCGCCGCAAACGTGCGGCAGCACGGGGAGACACCCCCGATATGCGTAACGTGCGTTTACGGCCCGGGCGTAAACCCAAGCCTCGGCCGGTAGGGAAAAGTGAAGACAAAGGCAGCGCAGCCGTGAATGAAGGTGATGGTATAGGAAGTGAGAGCGAGGCGGATGAAGACATACAAGACGGGGACAAGGAGGGGCATATGCGACATCCGCGGCCGTCAGGAAAAACGCTTCCATACAAGATCCGTGAACAGCTCAGCTCTCTTGGCATCGGCGTTGAGTGGTTGCAGCAAGAGGGGCTCGACTTCTTTCACCTCAGCGCGGTGCACAAGCTAATGAAGTGTGTACATTTTGCAATCGTTCTGTGGCATTAACTTTCCATGTTGACTCTTATCACAGGACCTACAGTAGCCTGGAAAATGCAGCGCCGGGTGTCAGTTGTCAGATCTCCGCGGATGCTCTCAGGCTTCTTCTCGCTCACGTCGTGTACTTCACGACACGGCTCGTCCGCCAAGTGATCGTGTCGCGTGAACAGGAGATGGTAGCGAAAATGCACACAAAGGTGTGGCGTCTGGCGAGCAACCAGGTACGCCTTTATACTCATTCGATCAGCTTAACACCGACCTGTATATACGCAGGTCATAACCGTGTCCAATGTCGAACATGCGCTCATGCTTCTTGGTGTGGATGTGACGAACAAGAAGACACATTTTCAGTGCTGGTTAGATCGTCTTGATCCCCAGGGGGACGAAGGGCATGAGGGTAGTGATGATCACGAAGACGAGGCGGACGACGAGGATGAAGATGAAGAAAATGAAGATGCGGGTGAAAACGCTCGATCCCACAATCCACAAGATCCATTATCCACAGTGCCACTCCATCGCCAAATATTTCCACCGTTCATCAAACTACCTTCATCCCTGCGGTCAGAACATACTGAT